TGGTTTAAAATATTTCTACTCTGATTTCTACTCTGAATATTGCTCTCTGATTTGCATTTATGTAATAAATCTTTCCTCATCATTTTCCCACCTGGAGAAATGTTTTAGGTGCCTCTTTTGCAAGCAGCATGGGAATACATTTTGTTTTAAGCTTCTCCCTCCTGTGTCCCTATGTATATAGCTGTAGGGACTCTGGTGCTGTTGGTTTCAAAGGTGCATGTTCCTTAGTGAGGCTCTGGGGCAGGGGGCTGGGATCTCAGGTTGCACGTTCGGCCCAGCACACACAGCTTACCCCATCTGTGTCTCAACCTCCTCACATGCAGAGTGGCGCTATAACAGACCCCAGACCTCAGGGACCTGTAGCACACGTTAGGAAAAATAACTTGGTGCTGACACTGTTCTTATACTTTAAAATCTCTACCTGTGGTCACCTTTAGGTTTAAACAATGACTTGAACTCTATTTCTATAATTATATTAAATTTGGGAGATAGGGCTTTTGGAAAAAAAAATCATCCTCTGCTAAATGATGAATTTAGAATACTTTTTTTACTCATGCCTTCTAGCCTTTTTCTCTCAAATTTAAATCTGAGGATTTACAATTCTGTAATTACTACTGAATTTTTGTTTTTATTTTATACATCTACTCTTTCCTTAGCATTAGAATTTGGTTCTGCACCCATGCATAAATGCAATCTTGACTTCATGTTTGCCTAGTTTCAGGGCTGTCTTTCTCGCTCTCACACTATTCCATAAGATCTCGTGACTCATCCTCTGGTCATCTAGAATACAAGCCTCACCTCCACCCCAGTAGAGATTGTTCCCCTTCCATGCCCACAAATCTCCAAGGATGATTTGTTCTTCTTTTGTTGACAGGTGGATCAAACTTAATACCCTGGAGAGGCATCTTGATGTTTCTTGGAATTTAGAAGTCCTGAGGAAAAGTCGGCTGTGTGCTGCCTGTGTGTCCCTAGGATTGTTAACCTTCTAACTTGATAATTTTTCCAGAAAAAGAATTTATTGGAATAGATTTAGGTCTGGCTCCCCTTTTGCAGAAACAATGACACTCTGTACTTATGAAAACCAGGTACATTTTCATTTAATATCTGCATATTCTTCTCCAACAAAAAGGTTGATTTTCTTGCATGGTTAGGGATGCCCAAGAATTTTCCAATGTTGCTTTTGATTTTTCATCATTAAACATTCTTCCGCATCTCCAGGATTATGTTCCTCTTCCTTAATACTGCGGAGGCCTCACAGGGTTCTGTCCCCTCCCTGTCTCCATTATTGATCTGTCCAGACCTGGTGCGGGCAGCAGGATTGCTGTGGCTACCCTGCTAGCCCCGGGGAGGCTGATTTCTCATCTCTCCAGCTACAGGACAGGCTGCTGGCTCTTAGTGTACTGGGACACTCTCATCCTTGGTACATTTGTTGCAATGTTTTCAATCATGGACTCTTCCCATTACACACAGATTATAAAATGCACACATGCACTTCTTCCTACTTGTGTACTAAAGTTTAGCTAGACTTACATTTTTTAGATAAAATCAACTGCTCTGTTTGTTTTTCCCATGGTCCTCCTGGATCCTTGTGGGATCCCCATGGAGCAGTGCTCCAGAGGAGCACAGGACACAGACCTCAGCCTCACTGTCCTAGGCTCTTCCCAGCCTTGCTCACCCCGAGGGGCCCGGCCTGGGGCTCCCAAGACCCCTGAACAAAGTGCTCCATCCTGTAGAGCGCCCCCTACCGCTTTCCGGGGTTTGAAGTCCCCTGTCAGAGGTGCTAGGAAGCTGTAGAGAGGAGCAAGGCAGAGGGAGGGCTGTGTTCCTGCTTCCTGCTGCTGGGCACGGCAGACCTGGAAGGCTGAGGCAGGGGCTGAAGGGGCTGGAAGGAGGAAGCCTCCTTTTACCTCCCTTACAATGGGAGTGGTGGCTCTGTGTGTAGGAGAAACGGAATGAACTGTTTTCTCCAACTCTAGAGGCCAAGCCAAATTCCTCACTAAAATACCAGTATGCGGGACAAGATGAAAATTCACGCCATCTCCCCCAAACCCTGTTGACAGGCTGGAGTGCCTGAGATGCTGAGACAGCCTGGGTGCCAACCTTGGAGCCCCAGGTGGGAAGAGTCGGAAGGGATCTGCTCACAGAGCAAGAGCCAGGCCACCTGACTGCTGTGATGGAGGCCCTGCCGCTCCTCCACCAGGATAAACACAAAGGCGAGAGAGAGCGGCCGTGGGGGGCAGGGGGGCGGGGAAACCCTGCCCTGCTGCAGTGGGACCTGGGGCCTCCGCTGGTCCCTTTCCTGGAGGCCGCCTGGCGCTTGAGTATTTAATGAGGAGGTCCCTCGGAGGCCTGGAGGCTGTGGGAGGCGGGCAGGCAGCCAGGAGGATCCCAGAAGACGGGAGTGCTGTGCCTGTCGGGCCTCGCGCGGTGACGTAATGCCTCGCCGGGTCCCAGCAAAACAAGGCCAACGCTGTCACTGCCCTCCCTGCAGCCCAGCTGCTCTGCACCATCACCGGCCCCCTCCCTCCCTCCCTGGCAGGAGAAAATGTGAAAAACCTGCCTTGTCACATAAAAGCCAGCCAGAGATATAAGAAATGTCTTTTCAAATGTCTTGCTGAAGAGGGATTTCCATAGCAACTTCAGAAGTGTGTGTACAACTGGAAGAGGGCCAGGCTGATGGAGGCTGCCCGGAATAGGGAGCTCAGCTCTGGGTGTCAGCAGCCACAGGTTTTTCTAGAACCTGACATGCTGCTGTGTGACCTTGGGCAAGTCACCCACCCTCTCTGATGTCAAAGGAGACAGATGCATCATCGGGTCAGGCTGCAGGAGACCGAGGCCTTGTTGTCTGGACCCCTCCCGTCCTGGCCCTGCTTCAGCCCCAGTAAATCCCAGCCTCCTGTTTCCAACCAGTCTCTGGCTGAATAATTCCTGTCTCGAGGTCTCTGCCAGTCTCATTTATTATTTGACACTGGGAAGGATCATTTAAGCATGATTCCAAAGGAGCAGGCAGGTCTTTGTAAGAGAAGTCTGTACTGAGAGGCACTATCAGGGTTCTGCAGGGCACATTCCTGCAGGTGTCTCTGAGGCTGAGAGGTGGGAGAAAGGGTTTGCTGGGCTTTTACTGGGGTGTGGAAGCAGGGCTGGGCCTCGGTGGATGGCCAAGCTCAGTGCAGCAGTGACGGAGGCCCGAGGCAGCCCCGCAGTGGCCCGGGCTGGTCCTGCACCACGAGTCCATGGCTGCCTATTCAGTTGCCTGTTCAGCCTGGTTGACCGTCTGAAACCCAAGCCAAACGGGGTTGATTCGAAGACAAGGAAGACTTCAAATACCTTAAAGGGCTGTGCAACTTCACTATTATTACTGTCAGAAAACTTGGTTCCTATCAATTAAAAAGGAAAACCAAAAATGACAGGAGTTGGTTGGTTCTAATTCTAAGAAGGCAGCCATGAAATTCCCAAGAATTACACAAAGACTTAGCTGTTGGCATCATTACTAATTCCCACTACCACTGTACTGTCATATGCAGTACATGCATGTCATCCCGTGTGAATACTCTGAGAACGCATCCCTTCTCCTAGGCCTTGCCCGGCATGGTCAGGAGACTGAGGCCATGTTAGACTGGGAGAGTATGAGGAGGGTGGATGGGAAGCCAAGCAGCTGCTCCCCGCTGTAGGGAGAGCCGCTCACCGGGGAAGGCTGGGCCATCCAGCCCTGCAGCTACAGAGCACGTGGGGCTCTGAGCAGTGGGTCCGGTGAGGCCGCGCCCCACATGTGGGAAAAGCCTCCTCATGCTATACCAGGCCTTAGGCCCTCGGTCACTGCCAGAGCCTCTCTCCCTCAGAACACAGCCTGAAAGAAACATCCAAACGGCAATGCGACCCAGGGAGCAGAAGGTCTCCAGCGGGCAGGACATGCAGCTCCGCAGCACCCAGGCGAGCTGAGTCTGTTGGGCCGCTCTTCCCTTTGTTTTGTTTTCTCTCTACTGGGAACTGGGGGCATGGCAGGCCTGGCGATGAAACCAGACAGGAGGGTTTACATGCCTCTGACATGACAGGGTTCTCTCTGCAGTGAGCAGATCTTTACTCTGCTCAGGTGAGGAGACTGAGGCCCGGGAGCAGAGCAACTCAGCCGACATCTCGCAGGGTCTTGGGCAGAATCCCTGGTGCTAGCCAGGTTCAGACTCCATGTGTGAAATCAGATGAGTCAAAATGCACAGCCAGGTTGGCTGGAAGGGAGGGAAGTCACAGGGCAGCCTAAGTGTGGCTGCGGAAGGGAGCAGTGAGTCCCGCTCCAGCCTCCCTAGCCCTGAGAAGCTGGCATGAGGGGCTGAGCCCTGCTCTCCATAGCCTGGTCTCCCCTCTCTCCCTTCAGCCACTCCTCTGAATCCCTGCTGGCTGTCACCTCCTGCTGGTAAAACCCTCCCAAAGTCTATCCCTTGGGTGCAGAGTTTCTGGAACTTTAAAGTGCATACAAATCACGGTAGCCCTGCTAAAATGCAAATTATGGCTCCAAAGGCCTGGGGTCAGGCTGGGGAGTCTGTATCCTAACCAGCCCCGGGGACACTGCTGCCACAGGGATGGACCCTGAGGAGCAAGCCAGCAGCACTTCTGTGCAATGGGAAGGGTCTGTGGGCAAAAGCTTTTGACAAAATCTGGAATAAACAAAAGGAAACAGATTTCATTACTGCAGGACTTCTCAGAGTCTTTAACCCAGTAGGAAACAACATTAAACCCCAAGAGGGGGCGATAACAGGAAAACCGCGAAGGGTTGCACATGAGTAAGGGCTAGCGGTGTGACCAGAGGGCTTGCTATTGGCCTGCAGAGCTGGAACAGAAAACAAGGAATACTGTGTGTTTTCCCAGTTACCCTGTCTCAATGTTTCCTCCTGCAGCTCATACTCAGCGGATTCCGCCCCCTGTCCCCCTTCTGCCTCGGAGACATCTGCCCTGCACAGACGTGCACCTCCACACCCTGCGTCTCCACCCTGCCCGGGCATGAGTACCTTTCACACACGCGCACAGTCCAGGCGGCGATGATCCACAGCGAGATGCTGAAGACCAGCAGCACGGTGCCGGGGCAGATGGTCATGAGCGTCTTCATGACGAAGCGCGTGTTGAAGGTGATCTTGTTGAGCGCCCCGATGCTGCGCGAGGAGGCGTCGGTGAAGAGCTTGCTGTGCAGCAGCATGACGCGCGCGATCAGGTACAGGCGCAGGAACATGGGGATGGACAGGATGATGTCCACGTCCGCCTCCGTGCGCGACGGCGCGTACGAGAAGGCCAGGCGCGCCGTCCAGAAGAACTTGTACTCGCCCGGGATGGGGTGGATGGCGCACACCAGCATCTCCAGGCTGATGTAGAGGATGCGCTCGTAGGTCATGGCTATCCGCCAGTCGTCCGCGCCATTGTCGATCACGAAGAGCTGCAGGGCAGAGAGCGGTTAGTGGGGCCAGACCCGGACACAGCAGGGCGGCAGGGCCCGAGCCTGGGCCTCGAGGGGCCTGGGGCCCAGCTGGGCGGGGAGCGGGGGCCTGGCTGAGACACAGCCCCTCCGGATCTCGCTCTCCTCTCTGGGAGATTGGTCTGTACCAAGGAACAGTGTGTCCGGTCTTGCCCTGCCTTAGAAGCCCTGGGAGGGGCCGAGCTGAGAACACGGCTCCGGGGACGGCCTCGCTCAGTCCCAGCCACGGCCCTGGGTTGAAGGAGCCGTCCTCCACCCCCACCCCCCCAGGAAGGGATTTCCAGAGAGGGGCTGTCACAGTGAGTGACCGGCGCCTGGTGGGGCCTCAGGAAGAGCCCGAGCAGGGGTCCATGCTCAGTGATCTGATCCACAGGCCCATCAGTAAGGCCCAGAGCACCCCCAGGCAGGCCGGAGCCTCGGGTGCTGCAGGTGGCTCACGTGGAGAGAGCCTGGGGGCTCCATCCCACACAGCTTCTCCCTCTGCCCGCTGGGGGGCACCTGGGGAATGGCGGAGGTCATGGGTAGTAGCTCCTTCCCCAGGCTCTGGAAGCTGCTATCGCAAAGCACTCAGATGGGAGGAGGAAGCCGTGGGACCCCCAATTTATAGCCAGTTGATCGGAACCACGAGCGGGGCTTCTGAAGTGGGGGCATTAGGGGGCTGGCCCCTTAACCTGTGGCTTCGAATGCCAACTGCAGGAGCAGTGTCAGCACTAGTTAAACCGTCAGGCACCCAGTTGGTGTCCGTGGAGTCTTGTCTGGCACCCAGCACACCCTGTTAACCATTGGCAAACACCTGTAAGCTCAGCTGTCCTTAGTATTCGCTATTGTCATTGGCCGTTTATTATAATTTTTGCCTTATTAAGAGATGAGGTCTCAGGGGTTTTTTTCAAAATGAGAATTGGGCTCAGTTCCATCCGTGCTCCCTCCTAGCCCTGCTTTCCTTGGAGCTCACAGTGCTGCCGCCTCGGCCTGAAGACGCACACTCAGGCACTCATGTGCACCTGCTGTGTGCCCAGCCTGCCGTGTGCTTGGCCCTGGGATTCACACGGGGAAGGCCCGGGTCTGGTCCTCCAGGAGGTGTGGTCGTGGGGTCCTGCCATGCAGACTGTGAAAGGGACTCAGACGCTGCCCCTGGGCCTCGGCCCCACCTCTGTGCAGGAGAAGGCAGGAAGGCTCCGTCCCGCTCAGCCTGAAGGGCTGATTCTCGGCGTGAAGCAGCCAGCACGTGTCAGGTGTGCACCTCCCATCAGGCGTGCACCCCACTTCTGAGAGGCGAGCAGGGTGTTCTTTACCACTCCGTGCCCTCTGTACCGGGCACCGCTCAGAAGCTCTGGCTGTGGCCTGTCCCCGCCACACAGGCACGCACGCCCACGCACGCACACTTGGGCTCCAGGCCTGCACGCAGCCTGCTCCAGGACACAGTGAGCTGCGCTCCCCAGGCCCGGATGTGAGCGGCTTCCCTGTGTGTGAGCTGGTGGGAGGGCACCACCTTGGCACATCCTGGGCAGCGAAGCAGCGCAGATGCTGGCCGGGAGGGCAGGGTTGTATTGAACCCGGAAAAGGGGCTCTGCCTTCGGAGACATGGAGCGGCTGGCCTGAGGGGATTGGAGCTGATGGACTGAGGGTCCCCGCCCCACCAACACCGAGCTGCCCAGGAGTTAGGGCCAAGGGCGCCAGCACTGGCTGTCCCAGTCTCCTCGGGGCTGGGCTCCAGGAAGCCCCTCTCTGTGCCCAAGTCAGTCACCTAGGACCCGTCTCTCCCCTGCTCCCCACCCTCCCCAGGCCCCCAACCCTCTCTCCGAGGACCCAGGAGAGAAGCCCTGCACTGCCGGCCCTGGGGCCTCAAAGGGTCGACGGGGCCACCCAGGATCCTGCACACCTGACACCGGGGGAGGCATCATGTGGACAGGGTCCTCCTCGCTATCTGTGTGCCGCAAGGGCAAGTTCCAGGCAACTCCGCGGGCCACCGAGGCCAGGCCAGCTGGTGCGAGGCTTCAGAAGGGGCAGCGGTGTTCTTCTCTCTGCCCTGTGACTGCACAGAGCATAATGAGTGCTAAGGGCTCCACTGACTACAGAAGACCGTTATGTGCTCATTCATTCATTCAGCAAACGCGGTGACGGCCTCTCTCCGCTGGGGAGGTGGGATCTGGTGGAGCATGGTTCCATGGTAGGGAAGTGGAGCCCACCATGGGAGTGACTGGCTGAGGGGCCCGACCTCCCCTTTCCAATTAGGGCTCCAAACGGGAGAGGACGCCAGCCGAGCACGGGTGAAGCCGGCCCTCCTCCCCCACCTGGGTGTCCCCGTCAGTCAGAGAGCCCTGATGGTCGCGCCAAGGGTTCCCCCTGCCGCCTGACAGCCCAAGCCGAGGCAATGTGACTCTCCAGCCAGAGTCTCCAAACACAGAGTTAGAGCCAGCCACCCTGTAATAAAGAATCACATCCAGTTACCATAGTAACTGGCTCACTCCGGGCAGGAACTGAAGCCGCAGCGACCTATACCTTGCTTGCTCCATGGGGAACTGCATCGGTGCCATGTGAAGGGAGGACGGGGCATCAGCAGCTCTGGGCGGCTTGAGCGGCGGGCACGGCCCAGGCTGTGTCCCCGCCTCTGTCTGGCTGTCTCAGCACTGGCGGGGTGACACGGGGCGGGTATATGGAGGCTGGTGAGCCAGACTAAGGTGCCCCAGGCCAGTGACTTCCACGAGCCTGTTTCCCATGTCTATCTTGGGAATACTTGGTCCTGCCCACGGCGCAGGATTAGCGCCAGCACCGACAGCCCCCCCATAATAAGTGGGCAGCTCCAAAGACAAGGGACGATGAGGCTAGGTGGTCTGGGGGTATTTAGAAAGTGTGTGCATGTGTGTGCATGCAGAGGTGTTTAGGGAAGGGGAGTTGGAAGAAGTATTTCAGGCTGAAAACCCAGAGCTCCTGCCAGATGCCCCACAGTGCTTGGGGCCTGCACAGTGGGCGATTTCCCAGAGCCCACACTGGCCGCATGAGGACACTTGCTGATCCCCGGAGTCGGCTCTCCAAATGAGGCCTTGCCCCTTCGGATTTAGGCAGGCAGCAGGCACCCATCCTGCTGTGTCCTCACTCAGCCCCTGACTAGCCCTTACAAAGAACAAATCCTAACTATGCATTTATTTGTCTTTATCAGGCTTTTGTCTGTCTCTTCACTTAGACCAGCAGTTTTCAACCTGTTGGCCTGCTTGAATTACTGGGAGGGCCTTTTTAAAATGCCCAGGCCCTAGCTCAAAAAAAGAAAAAAGATACAGAACAATCCCCATGCCAGGCCCACCTCAGGCCACGCATGCCCTCCTCTCTGAGGTGGTGCCCTAACACTGGGAGTTTTCTTACACTCCCCAAGTTACCCTAAGTGTACCCCGTCAGTGTACCGTGATGGGGACCCCAAGGCGACAAGCTGTGGAGCTGCTTGTTCTCTGGGGTTATCTCTGGTGCCCGGCCCAGCCACTGCACGTAGTAGGTGTTCAGTGAACGCCCATGTAAGGAGCCAGTGACTGGGTCACTGTGTGACCCTGTACACCTCCTCTCTCAGGCTCCATTTCCTGCTCTGAGAGACCCCTGGGGGCCGCCACATTGAGGAGCCTACTTAGGGGCCTGCACAGACGCTGGGCCTCCCACCTGGGATGTGTACTGGGTGCACAAGGCCCTGGGATGGGACCCAAGCCTGGCTCCTGCCGCACCTGCCCCCTGCCTGGTACGCAGTGGGCGGTCAGCTGAATTCTGATGGAGACTGTGAGATGCAGAGCAGACAGACTGCCAGCGACCCTTGGTAGCCCCTGGCATGGAAACTCCACGGAGGAGACCTGACAACTCATCTGGTGCGGGGGAAAGGACCTCTCCTGCCCCAGACCTACCTGGAATAACTGTTCCCGGTGCTCACTAAGACTCAGAAAGTTCTAGAGCGATTCTGGATGGGGAGGGGAGGGCGACTGTCCTCCCCCAGGTGTGGGCTCTGCCCCTTGTCCTGGTTCCCGAACAGCAGGACTTTGACCTCAGGGGGACTTGGGGAAAGTGCTGAGGCACCGAGGGCAGAACCTGGCATGGGGTGGGAGCATCCTCAGAGAGAGGAGCCTCGGAGGCCCAGGGCTGGCAGCTGCCCCCTGGCACGGCTGCTCTGAGAGGGATGAGGGCGCTCAGTGGCTCAGTCCCTCTGCCCCTGCACTCGGGGCTCGGCCAGCCTGAAGACGCAGCCCTCAGCACCCGGCCCTGGGCTCTCCCTTTCCTCAGTGATGCCCTGAATGAGGGGCCTTAGACCGAATCCTGCTACTTCACCCGGGTTTCTGAGAGCTCATAGGATTTTCTGCACATTAATATCATCCCAAGAGCTTTGGGAGGGAGGTTTTACACAACACACTGATTCCAAATTTACCATTAAAGAGCTTGTAATTAGGAAAAGAATTAACTCCATTCAACTCAGCTCAATTCAATAAAACAATCAGTAAGAACCAGCTAGGTTAGGACACTGCCGGGGCATAGATATGAAGGGAACACACCTCCTGTGATTCAGTGGGGACTTAAAGAGGCCCTCATATTGGAGAGGCAGGCTGAGGACCCACGCGGAGAGCTTCCTGGGAGGACAGGGCTCCGGCAGCACCTGAAGCAGGTATCAGATGCACTTGGGGTGGAGCTCACAAAAATGACCACAGGTTCCTCCCGATGTCCACTTGCTTCTGTATGTGAGACTTTGCCTCCCCATGCAGCGCAGTCTGTTTCCCAACCACTGGAGTCTGAACCTGGCCCTGTGCTTCAGCCCCTGGGCAATTAGAAAACGTAACACAGCAAAGCTTTGAAAAATGTCAATGTCATGGATCTGACTGCAGACACAGGGCCTCGCTGTCCCTGTCACCAGCTGTAGTGAATGCCAGCTGCCGGCCATTCAAGGATTCAAGTCTTTCCCGGGCTGGCTTCATGGCCGGATCCCCACCAGTGAGACCAGG